GGGGGGGCTTAATAGAGAGGGGGCGCTTATTTAATTTAGCGAAACGCATCAAAGGGAGCAAGGCTTCTCGTGGATGGACTTGTGGTTTCCGGGCGTTATACTGCTTTTTCTAACAATAAGAAATCCACAGAGAACTACAGAGTAAAGTTGAAAAAGTTACGCACACGAAGTTGGAGGTTATGCGGCCGAGGACCCTGAAAAAGAAAATGAATTTCCAGCCTGAATAAACAATAACTGATCAGTCCACCTTAATTGTTCGTGAAGAATAAAGATGGAGGGGAGGGAAGAGGGGGGGGGGTAGCATTCCTCCTCTGAAAAGGGGGGCTCATTAGAGAGGAGGGGGGCTTCATAGAGGATTTACGTAATCGGCTCCTGGCGCAGCCCAAGGCCGCAGGCACAAGAATCTGCCTTAGACGGCTGGTTGAGGAATCGACAAGGAAATATTTTGGATTAGTCATTTATTGATATTATAAAAACGCTGAAATTAATACAGTTAAAAGGGAGCCAGTGTTCTAAACTAGTTTTGTGAAAATATCTGTCAACAAAATATCATAGAAGGTGTATTGACGAGAGGGGTACGTTTTCTGTATATAAAGAAAGGGGCGACCTCAAGGCAAAGCCTGCGTTAAAGGACGAGAAATAATAAAATGATTTTTTTCCTGGTAGGATTAAGAAATTGTTTTCAATGGTTTATTGAAAGTAGTGTGTAGCGAACGTGTTGCGAACTAGAAGGGGCAAGTAACGAAACCGGTAGTTACGCGTTCGTGACATCGATCATGCTGACAGCTCAAATCGGCCCAGAGGGGGCCCGTTTCTCGAAAGTCCCGGTAACTTTTCGGGCCCGAAATCAAATATTCAAATCGAAATATAAAGAATAAGAGCGCGGGTTCAGGCTAGCAACCTACTCCATTTCGTTTCATTAACTGATTGTTTTATCATGTTAGATGCAAAACTATTGAAACCTCGATCTTTAATGTAAATGGACACAGCTTACCGGGCCGTTGATTATCGGGACTTTCGAGAAACGGGCGACATTGTGTCAAGCTATGGAAGAAATTGTACGTTAAAATTTGCACGCATTGCGTGCCATTTTATCTCGGCCCAGGGTTTCTCTGCCAATAAACCACAAAGATTCAATATCAAAATAGAAGCTGTGGATTCCTTTGGAAAAATTTGTTGTATTGCGTAGAAGTCATTATGACGGAAACACAACATGTCATGTCATTTGGAATGCGTCTTTACACACATTTTCTTCGGAGGGCTGTTGTTTGTAATGGGAGTCGTAGATCTCAGTTTCAATTACGGCGATTTTTGGACAGGGCTTAGATTCTTTGTTATCTTTTGTGGAGCCTGGGTAGGTAAGCTTAGTTGTTTTCCCTCTGCTGTAAACGGAAGCAAAATACGGTTGCAGCTTACATCACCTAAAAAACGGAAAAAGTACGTTCAGAACCGTTTCTGGCCTTTTCTGGTTTCCGTATGTCTTCAATAAGTTTTTCTTTCTCCTTTAATTGTTAGCAAATTGTAACAAATAATTAGCAATTATTGGACAAGGAAGAGTATGATTTGAAGAATTATGAGGGATGAAACCCTCTGAGATTTGCATACTATAAATTGCTGGGATTCGTACACTCTTTGTGATTGGAATTCATTTAGAAACCAACTAATTAAAACAAGCAACTGCAAACTGGTAATATATAATAATAATAAATTACAAAAACAATTATTTCATTGTGAACATTTCTTAATGCCTTAAAGACCTTCCCAGTTAATCAATTCCGGTCCAGGGAAGGCAGGAAATTGCATTTTGGAGACTCCAATTTTAAAACTTTCCAAGGGGAGCATGCTGACTCTCCTAGAAGTTTTTGCCTCTAATGATAATGATAATAATAATAATGATAATGATAATGATAATGATAATAATAATAATAATAATGAACTTTATTAAAGTCTCATGTCTTAGAGTTCAGGCACAATGCCTTACTAATTGGGGAGACTGATGGTGCTAGTCTGCCAGCTGAGCCTCTGTATCTGGTACTTTCAAATGCTACCAAAAACCCGATTGGCATTTTGAGAGATCTTTTTATTGGCTAGCCGGTTGTAGAAGGAGAACAATGCAGGCAGCTGAATAGGTTATCGATCATTGCAAAATGAAATGACTACCGGTACATTAACTGGGACCCGCATTCCAAACCTTGGTTAGTGAAATACCCTTTGAAGTCACACCCAGCTAGAAAATATAGCTAGGGCTAATAATCCTCTTTCTTTTTTTAATGAATCTCAAATCAGAAATATGTGAGTTAATAAATTTCCATTTTTTGACAGATGTACATCACAGGAGTAATTCTAGCAACAAACCACAAGAGGGGATCTTGTAGGCGCAAGGCCTTCGTAGGTTGAACTGTATGGTTAGAATATTAATTTTCTTCTAGAGTGCTCAACTTTAATTTTCAGGAGCAATCTGAAATGACATATAATTATAATGGAAAATGTTGCTGCAGGCTTCAGAGGCCATCATAGCTTTATTCCTATTACTCTATTGCCCAAGCGGCCTTGTTTCAAGGTCAATATACCATTAATCTGCCACTTAATTGTTTCCAAATAAATACACCATCAGATCAATTTGGTTTCATCTTTTCATCTTTCAAACACTTGTTGGTTATAAAGAGTAATTAGCCTGGGGATTTGAACCAGTCAGAAGCAGTGAAATACTTTGAATAAATAATTATGTATGGTATATTGCTCACGTCTTCCAAACATGTTACATGGCAGTTTGTTAGGGATTGGAGACAATCAGAAATGGCAAAATATTTTCAGTGAATAATTATAGGCAATATACCACTGAATCAATGGTGTGTATCGCTTTTAGTTCGATTCTCCCCGGATGAAGCCTTGCAATTTAGAAAGTATTTTCTTTATTAAAAACATATCTATTATGAAAAATCTGACCGATTTCCGTAAAACAGTGGAAACTGGTGTGGATCGACCCCTGCAAATGTGGTAAGCACCAAGTGCTTGTTGAGAACTAGTTTAGGGGATGTGAGCTAATTAGAAAAGGCAAAATATTTTGAGTGAATAATAATTACAACAAGATGTTTATCAACCAGCTGATTTTTAATAATTTATTTCCAGGGCAGTGCATTTATTACCTCAGGTTTGTGTGGTGTTGCAGTTAGTGCTTGCTACAGCTTAATTTTACATTCCCTGAGGTTTTGTGGATACTCTGATTGTGAACCAAGGAAGGCTTTTGCAGCTATTGTCTTCATACTTAGTTTTGTTCAGTGTATTGCAGGATGCAGTGGTTGTTACTGTTTTGCCTCGTCTTCTAGTCAGGTGACAACAAAATTTAATATTAAAACTAGTGTTTGCAACTTTATTCCCAGAGAATTTGTAATTTTTTTGTACAGCTTGGATAATACAGTGCATGTTTGTAATTTACTCTAGAAGTTAAGTTAAAAGTATTAAATGTTAATTGAAGTGATTTGTTTTATATCTGGGTAATATTTTCCATATATTTTTACCAGGCTGATCAAATTTTAAGCCCTCCCAACGTTCCTGCTGGCGACGCCCAGATGGTGCCTACATGTATGCCTCCTCGAAGTGCTTTCCAGAATAACGACCGGCCTCCACCCTATGGTGCTGGTTCGCCGGGACCTGATCTTCTTCTTGTCCCCTTGGAGGGTACCCCCATGTCTCTTCAAAGTGTTGTGCAGCAAAATGATCGGCCTCCACCTTATACTGTCGACGCCCAGTCTTGCTCCCATGGTTCTGATCTTCTACTTGTTCCCTTGGAGATGACTCCTTTGCCTCCACAGGAAACTGGCCCGCCTCCACCATATCACCAAATTTCCACAACAGAGTCTGTCATGTCGAGCTTTCATGATGGACATCAGCCCCCTCCTTATGTACGCACAGATGGGCAAGTAAGAGCAGATCTTTTTGTTTTGTTCAGGGAGCTTAAACACTATGCGTTTTATAATGGTGCGCTCACTAAATTGTGGATTTAAGACTTAGTTTGGACTTGGACTTTGGACTTACTTTTTTATGATTTCACATTTTTTTTTTTATGATTTCACCTTAATTTCGTTTACTTAATTTTGTTTCTCAAAGACAATTTAAAGGTATTCCACATTATCTTTGGCGTAAAATAAAACGTCAGTTTTTGAAAAACATTATTTTAATTCTGTTTGTCTTAATAAATTTACTTTAATTCACTCTTTAAAACTTCAAGATCGCGACGTTTCATTTCCCAGGATCCTTACAAAAACTTGCATTATTATGCTCTATTCTCAAAAGCCACATCACTGTTCGAAAAGAGTAGGGGACGTAGACCCCGGTGTTGTGGTCAACCTTCACTCATCACATCATTCACATCATGGGTTGGGTGGGTACAGTAAGCTCAAAAATGGATAGCCTGCGAGCAAGCTCTCCTATTTGGGCAAGCGAAGCGAGCCTCACGAGAACGCGCTGTCCCTCGCGGCTTCGCCGCTCGCTCGCGCGTTCTCGCAAGACCTGTTTCACTGCCCCAAACAGGAGAGCTTGCTCGCAGGCTAAAAAATGGACTGAGAGAACCCCAATTTACGGACTCCTCGTTGTTACGGAAAGTTTTCTTCCTCCGGAGAAGCCCTTACAGTTTTCTCTAAATTGAATCCGCTGGCGCATACCCGTCAATGCAGAGAACGCATACTTATTGCTTGCCCAATCAACTGATTCTCATCGAAGGTTAACCTCGTTAATGCGGACACTTTGTTCTCAAAAATATGCTGAAAATTTATAGGAAGCCTTTTTCTTTTTTAAGGTAAAGAAAAAACCTTTAGCTGACAGCATGTTGATGTTCCCAGCGGTAAAGTGCACCGGATAGGATGATTTATAGAGCCAAATTGAATTTCAGACTATTTTGGCATCAAACGCGTTATGCAGATAACGTTTTTGCATATTATAAGTAATATATGGATGAGCGATTTTTGAGTGTTTCCGTGTGTTTAATCCACGGAATGACGGTTTTGTGAAAGTTAGAAATATTTAAGTTGACGATGCTAATATCCGCTTTCATTTCTTTAATTTGAATTTTTTCTAATATAAGGCTTTTTTTACAGTTTTACTTGAATAACATGACCCTCTTAATACGGACACACTGTTAATTCAGTGTCCGTAACGAAGTTTGACTGCACTAAATCTTACTTGCATTCTTTTTTTTTCCTAGCATCGTGTAACTACTTACGTGTGAAGTTGGAGACTCCTGCCAGTTCTCAACTAACAACTAATCTTCATCATCTACTAATGCATTTCGTAACCCGATGCCTAATCACAAGAAAAATGTAAAAGTAATTAATGTAAGAACCTTGAAACTTCTTTTCAAGAAAGGCAAGCGAGCAGAAGAGCGTGGAGAAATAATAATTATGTTTGTAATTTATTAGTTTTTAGGACTAGGAGCTTGAACGCGAAAGTGGCGTGCTGGCGTCGGTTAAGTACAGTGATTTTGGTACCTCTGCGTCCTGGGTTCCTGACGCATAACAATCCCCAAAGACATAAAATAATTTAATGAATGCGTCCCGTGGAGACGCAAAGATCGATCGATCGATTTGAAAATGTCTTTGTAGAAAATCCTGTTCTTGTAATTTTTTATTTGTGGTTATTTATGTGGCTGTCTGTTATTTAACGATGCATATTTATTTTGGTACCCTCATTTTCGTTGTGAGGATTATATATTAATTTCAGTAACTTGTGATAAAGAGGTTTGGAGTCTGTCTTCAGATTCAGTAACTGCCTGGTTATAAACGACCCAAGCATTTTCAGTTTAGAACTCGTTGTTTTTTGAACTGGGACTCAATGGTTCTGGACTGGGACTCTAGATTTTTCACAAGATGAGTCCCATGACTCACCATAACTACTTCTAACAAAATCATAGTCTGTAACTATTTCTTAGTATAAGAGCGGCACATGCACTTGTATGAAGCAGAAGATTATATAGATTATATAGGAAAAACAAGGATAAGGCTATTTTGGAGAAAAACGAAAGGAGGAGCGAAGACCCGGAGGGTGTACTTCTGGGAGTAGTAATAAGAGGCTGTTCTGCCAGTAGCCAATCAGCATCGAGTATTTAGGTCATGTGACATGGATTAGCCAATCAGCGTTAAGCATTTGGGCGTGGTGTCGAATCGCAATAAACTTTGATTGACAGGTCGTTCTGGCCTGTGATTGGTCGAGAGATGAATGACGTCATGTATAGACAAGTTTGATTGACATGTCAATGACGTCATAGGGTGTGACGTCATAGGGTGTGACGTCATAGGGTATTGCGTCATAGGGTGTGACGTCATAGATCACGTGACACTGATTGACAAGTCAATGACGTCATAGGGTGTGACGTCACACGGTATTGCGTCATAGGATGTGACGTCATAGGGTATTGCGTCATAGGGTGTGACGTCATAGGGTATTGCGTCATAGGGTGTGACATCATAGGGTATTGCGTCATAGAGTGTGACGTCATAGGGTGTGACGTCATAGGGTATTGCGTCATAGGGTATTGCGTCATAGGGTATTGCGTCATAGGGTATTGCGTCATAAATCACGTGACACATTTGTTTCTTTTCAACTCGTTTATTTTACTTTACAGGAAGTGACCGCGCGAGCGGAAGTTAAGAAATGGTACCCCTCAACTGCTTTATTACACAATGGAATAAATGGCCTTTATATTTGTGATGGATGTTGTATGCTTGTGGTACGTCTTTGGGACAATTTGCAACAACCCATGCGCGTGGAGTAACATCTGCTAGGAGCATTGTCTTATAACCTAGGAGGCATTACTTGACCTTTATATTTGCACTGCATGTTGCACGCTCACCCTTGTGGTACCTCTTTGTGACAATTTCCAACAACGCATGCGCATAAAGTAACATAAACTAGTGGCATTGTCTTGTAACCTAGGAGGGATAACTTGGTCTTTATATTAGTGTTGCATGTTGTACGCTCACGCATGTGGTACTGCTTTTGTGTTAAGTTCCAACAACGCATGCGCATAAAGTAACATAAGCTAGTGACATGTACAGCACGACCGGAAGTCAAGAAAGCAACCCATCAGAAAGCTGTTGACGTGAAATGATCACATGACCATCCCCAGGTCCCCGGAGAGGACCGGAAGTCAAGAAAAACACATTGTATTGGGGTCAATAAATTATCTTTTTTGATTTAATACGATGTCATGCCTTGCATTACAAGCGGGACGTGTGTGACCTCCTAGTGACGTCACGCCCTTGCAATGATTTATAATTCCAGCAAGAGTTCCACTTCCTCCTCAATCCATTGGAAGCCATTGGCAATTCGACTTGCTTTGGTTGTATAGGTTCATCAAGTTCCCCATTTCTTCTGCTGGAATCGTGAGGACTTCATTTTGGTAGTATTTGAGAACACTGAGGACAAAGTTCACAATCGGTGTTGGGTTTTTTAAAATTGACTAAACAGGTGTGGCAAAGGAATTTTTCTTGAGTACGAGATAATCGTTGATTTTGTTCGAGGTATTGTGCCTTTGTGAAATCCAGTTGACGTTGTAGGTTTTGCAGTTGTTGGTTTTGTTCTTGTATGATTTGAAATTTGTGCAAGACCAACAAATTCCATCTGTGTCCGGTGATTGGAAATTCTACGGATGAACTTCCCTGTACATGGTGAAGTCCAATATGTGCGCACGTACTTTTCCCGCATTGTTATGGACAGTGCATGGACCACGTACTAGAGGACGGACTTCACGTGGATCGTGTTGGAACTTATTGGTACCTTGGAACAAAATGGAGGAACTTTATATCGTTTCCCATTGGTTATGGCAAGGAAACAGAAGGTGAAGACGATTGTTGATCCAAACACAAGTTCAAAAGGAAACAGGAAAGGACAAACTCAAGAACTACATCGTGAGGCGGGAGTGGCCGAAGGAGCGTGTGGCTTAGAAGAATTAAGCAGGACCGCTTTGAAGTGAAGATTTGTCTTTGTAAGTAGAGGGTGTGGCAAGACGTTTGTAATTTGCTGCTTATGGTTTTTGGAGGTAGTTGGTCAACATGGAGGTTTTGGCTTTGTGGCTCTGGAACGGCTGTGGCTTACCATGGAATTGAAAGGCACAAGGAACTTTGGACTTGTGGATGAAAGGTCCTGCCGGAACATCGGGTGCTGGGGTAGGTTAAAGGCATGTGGAAAAAATCCTTTTTTTAGTTCTGTGAGATTAAAAGCAGATGGAAAACTGGCCAACGGCATTGGTAGAAAACACAGTGAATCTTTGAAAATAAGTGGTCCACTTTCAAAGCATAAAACTTTGCTGCCCACGGTCAATTGATTTTCAATGCTTCTTTGCTGTTTATACATTTGATCAATGATGAAGGTCCCATCAAAACCTTTAAGATTATGAAAAATTGTAATGATGGTTCTTTGACGATCGTCATCGGGAATCTCTGCGGCATCATCCAAATCGTGTAAGAAGGTGCATACACAGTCTTTGCCTTTGTGGGTTACAATATTGACACTTTCATTGGTGCGATAACAAAGCATGTTAGGCTCAAACTGCCTGTCCGGTAACTGCATGGCCTCAATGTCAGCGTAGACAAGGAGGGGTAGAGGGAGGGCTTTTTTCTTACCATTATCATCACCAACATCTTCTTCTGGGTGCTCCACCACCGGCTGGATAAAGCATTTGTGTGCGTGGATCTCGACCATTTCTTTACACGATGGGCAAGGGGCAAAACCACAGCGATGTCGCTTGCCCTTTATAAAATTATATTCGGCATGACACTTTGGGCAAGTTCTGTGTTTTGGGCATTGATTTTTTTCACGATGATAGTCAAAACAATTATTGCCATAAAAGCGACAATGACAAAAATTGCAAAGGATGGGCGGGTTAGGATTGGTGCGGTCGTAGTCTGGACAATCCTTTCTGCTACAAGCTACGCAATTTCTCCCATCACATGGGTGATGTTTAGCATCGTCCACATTAAAACCTTTTTCACAGAGAGAGCACCAATAAGACCTGTTCTGAAAAGCGGAAAAAGAGGAACATCCATCGTAATGGGTGTCAGACTTGATGAGTTTGATTTCAATGTCAGCAGGTGGTCCTTTGAAAATAACAAAGAAAGCCTTTGTCCTGCACATGACGATTAATTGATAGGTAGGCTGTAAATATTGCTGAAATTTCTCCAATTCTTCCAAGCCACAAGGTCCCCGATGTACGTCAGCAAGTTCGAGCAGTTCGATTGCCTTTTCTTCTTGAATTTTTCTTCCTTGTATTATGTTCCGATAATCTTGATCAGCATCATTGGAGTCGTCTTTGTGAGCATGTGCTATCATTGTCACTATTGCACGCGCACAACAGAGATCGTCATTGTTTTTGACAGAAATTATGCTTTTTTTTTCTCTTATTTTCAATATCGAGGCAACGCTGACCAGGATTTCTGTTTTTTTTTCCCACGGCCTGGACGTGGACGTTTAACAAACACCACTTCTACGTTGAATCCTTGATTGTGATCAAAGGACTCGTTACTGTTCAATTTTCTTGCTAAATTATCCAACAGTTCGTTTAATCGCACTGACCTGGCTAAAAATTCACGCACTGTAAAAATAACGCTTTGGTAAGCGTGGGGGAAACCGTGAGCTGTAATGTTGAAATGAACAAAATCATGAGGATTTCTTTCCTCTCGTAGGACTTCGGTTTGTATTGCTGTATGCAAAGCGTTGGCGAGCTCCGACCCAATATCTTCTCTATCTACCGGGTCGCGCAGCTGATGAAGATTGGCGCGAAACTGAGCTCTTTCTACGATGTTTTTCCAGCGTCTTCTCGGACCAATGCTGGTGAAAGTAAATTTGAACATTGGTTGACGCGAACCTCCCACTTGCTGCGTTCTTTCAAAGTCATCCATTGCTCGGTTGAGTAAATCATCATCATCATCGTCTTCAAAGGATCTTTTCATCTTGCACTTGCTTGACGTCGACTTATAAAGAGCAGACGGGGGTTTTGAAACTAGATTTTAAAAAAGGTTTTCACGGTCTGCCTCCATCTTGAAAAAAGTGATGAAAATGAGGCTGTGCATCCTGTTATATACCCCCATTTCTTTGACGTCATTTTGACGTGGCTTCCTCTCATTGACTCCTCAAAACGAGGCTGCTCTCTGCTTCTTTTTTTGTTCCTCTAGGATAATTTTTTTTTTTTTTCTGATTCTTAGATTTTTTTTCTAGGTTTTTTTTTTTCTAGATTTATTTTGCTTTTTTTAAAGAGAGAAGAAGAAGAAGAAGAAGTAAAAGAAGTTTCCCGTCGGGGGTTGAACTCTTAACCTCTGGATCTGTATTCACTGCGCGCGCGATCCCACCTACACTACTACAGATAAGCTAAGATGACCTCTGCAAATTTAGGTAGTCCATAGTTTGCGCGCGTTACCTTTCACTCGTCTTTAACGCAACTCGGCCTGCAAGTCCGGGCTTAAAATGAACTCACATCGGCTTCAATGCAAGCGAAATGCAATAAAACAATTAAATTAGCCTCAAATGAATTCAAAGCAACCCTAAAAAAAAATTTATTTGGATCCTAAAAAAAGAAATCCGTTGGCATCTCTTACCTGTTCATCCACCATTTTGTTTTTCAAACGTGGGATTTTTTTTTCATTGTGGTTTGAATGTTTGAAAGAAAAAACTAGCGAGTCGTACTCATCTACTAAACGTGAACATATTTCACTTGGAAAAAAGAAGAAACCAAGCTTGTCTAGCGTACCGCAAGTTTTCCTTCTCCGTGCGTGAATTGAACTCGCGACTCTCGATTGCGTCGAATTGCACCACGTGGAGTTACACGGAGAGATGCGAGTTCAATTCACACCCAGGGCTTCTCTGTCAACCATAAAGATTCAATATCAAAATGGAAGCTGCGGATTCCTTTGGAAAAATTTGTTGTACTGCGTAGAAGTCATTATGGCGGAAACACAACATGTCAAGTCATTTGAAATGCGTCTTAACACGCGTTGTCTTTGGAGTGTTGTTGTTTGTAATGGGAATCGTAGATCTTGGAGTCAATTACGGCGAGTATTGGACAGGGTTTTGATTCTTTGTTCTCGTTTGTGGAGTATGGGTAGGTAAGCTTAGATATTTTTGCCAGTGCTGTAAACGAAAGGAAAATAAGGTTACATACTTCAGCTTACATCACGTGTAAAGGCGAAAAAGTACGTTCAGAACCGTTTCTGGCCGTTTGCACCCTTGTGCACTCCTGATATGGCAAGTTATGCCCTCTTCTGATTTCCGTATGCAGCCATATGGCTTCAAGTTTTCCTCAGTCAATTGTTACAAATAATTAGTAATTATTGGATAAGGCCGAGGATGATTTTAAGCATTATTGAAAATGAAACCCTCTGAGATCTGCATACGTAAATTGCTGCTTATAAGCTTCCATCTCTCCCCCCGCCCCCCCGCCCCCACCCTCTCTTTCGCAATCCCTATTTAAATGTAAGCCCATCTACGTGTCAACAACCAGGAAAATGCATCCATGTTACGTGTCAACAACCACGAAAATGCATCCATGGAGAAAAAAAACACAGAACAGAGAAAATAAACGGAGAAATATTTTGAATCAATAACAAGCTTGATTATTATACACTGTACTCATTATCTGTCATCTCATTGGCTAAGAGCCTACAGTTAATTTTGGAAATTGGTGCAACCTACAGATTAGTTGATAAGTTAGTTATCTGCTACCAAATAACTGACTAATTTGTAGGTTGCGTGCACAATGCATGATTTCCAGTAGCAATTGTATCAATTCAGGTTCCTTACCACAGTGTATTTGTCATATTTTCTTCAAAACAATGTATATAATAGAACAATATTATCATAACAAATTTTCATCTTTATCTAATACAACTGTGGTGGCAATTTTTCCAAAACTTTGTTTATGGCGACGTAGCTTATGCTCAAACTTGGGAGGTATTGACCCTGAAAAACTGTATCGATCCACCTTAACCATTCTTGTAGATCGCAAAAAAAAAAAAACTTGAAAAGCGGTTTAGATCGAGCCACCTTACATTTCCAGGAGGTAAACTGCGGCTCTGAGGGCTTTTAATTCATACTGTGTCAAACTCTTTTGATTCAGTTGCTAAATCTTACTTGTATTCTTTCTTTTTTCTAGCATCCTGTAATGACTTACGTGTGAAGTTGGAGTCTCCAGTTCTTAACTAACAATTAATCTTCATCATCTACTAATGTAACGTTCCGGCAAACTTTCTCATGCCACTCTTGGCGCGCTAATTGATGAAAATCTAAAGCCCCTGCAAATGGACGCACCGTTGTAGACCAATAACTCCCAACATTATTGGATGTTATATGTTGCGTCCGTTTGCACACCCTGTTGCGTGTTGCTGGGAGTCATTATGTCGCGCAAAGTTTGAAACCGGTCAAACCTTTAGCCCCGTGCAAACAAACGCCATGATACTACAATGTGTATCAAATGACTTGGGGTGGCAAAACCTTGAAACCCAACGTCTCATTCAAAAGGCAGTGATGGTGTAGCCTTGCGCCTGATTACCTGTCTCTAAAATTTATATGACGACGCAGTAAAATATTTAATCCCTATAAGCTTGCTGTCCTCTGGCCACGGACCAATTCCTATAGAAATAGCTTCTGCTTAAGCTCAACTGTTCTGTGGAACAATTTTGCCTCTGATGTAACACAAGCAAAATCTTTTTGCTAGCTTTCGGCAGCAGGCCTTATTGTACGAGTGCCATAATAGTAGGATTAATAAATAAATTGAAATATTTTAGGATTTAAAGGTATATAAATTATATGAATTAGAGCTCTATATTTGTATATTAGCCTTATGTTAACCTTTTAATAAATAAAAGTGATGATGATGATGATGATGATGATAAATTTAACCTGATGCGTCAGGACAAAAACGTAAAAATGTTGGAGGAACTTTGAAGCGTTTTTTAACGAAAGGCGAGGAAGAGTGTAGACATGCACATATCAGTCCTTTTTGTCCTTCATTGCACCTTTATTGAACACGTAATCATTTTCAGTAAACGAAAGAGCAGGTCATACTTCTGATAACTGGAACAGGTGGGCTTAATTTCGTTTGTGGTTCATAGAGTAAGAGCAAGAGGTAGTAAGAGTTACGGCTAAACCGAGGTCAAAGGAGAAAACGATGGTGGAGGAGGCTAGGGGAAAAAAAGGCTTCAATTTTTCCTTTGACCCCGGCTCAGCATCTCTTACTTTACCCCCAGACGGACCATCCGAACTGTTCGAAGCAGCGTGATGTCGCACGCGCGATATGTGATACAGTCGAAGCTGTCGTAAGCGACCACCACGGAAAATCGAAATTTAATTGGTCGTAACCAGAGGTGATCGCTTACAAGATTGAGCTCTCGCAAGCGTACAGATCTTTGAGTCTCTGTGACGTAATTGTCATACGAGAGCTTTAGAAACTCATTAATGATTCATACAGAAAAAAACAAAAGAAATTTATGTTCAATGAGTGTTTTTACATCTGATATAGACATGGCTAAACTTTTTGCCCAATTTTTTAGATCATTAGAGGAGTGTTGATTTACAACAGTTTAAAAACAAAGGAAAAGACCAGTTGGGTAATCCCAAAAGTGGTCGCGGTCGCTTACGGGAGCGGTTTCTTAAGAGAGCTTTTTATTACAAAGTTTAAGTCACAGTTCAAACGGGGTTTCACAGGGTGATCATAACTAGAGCTGGTCGCCAGTACGACAGTGGTCGCAAGGAGAGCCTCGACTCGCATCTCTCCACCGCGCATGCGAAACCTGAACCGAAAAAGTTATCTGCGACCCGGGGGAGGGACACTGCATATAAAAGGGGTGGGGAAGCCCGTCGTCTCCAGTCTTACGGGTGTAAATTTCGGATTTTGGTCTCTCTTGTTCTGGGCAAAACGCCATCATATTTAGCCGTGAAGGTCTCGTTTAGGGTTGCACGTGAAAAAATATAAAAATATGTGTATTGTCTGTGTTTTTTTTAGGGGTCAAAAAAAGCTTCGGCTACGCCCGGATCGGTCTCTTTTAGGTGTTTAATTCAAAATTTCCGACGAGCATCCCCACCCCTTTCATATGCGTGGAGTCCCCCCCTCCCCGGGATCTGCGAACGCAAGCAGCTCTATCAGGGATCGTGAGAATTGCTTTATAAAGTATAGAAAATCTTGACCTAATGTAAGAAAACAAAGTTACTTTTTGTGTATAGATGGTTTTCACAGTGACGTCATCAAGTAGAGAAGTCAAAATAGCGAGGTTTTACGAATTCTTATTTACACTAGGTTGAAGATAAGCAAAAAGTAAATCTTTGAACAAGTTTCCATTCCCGTAGCATGTTTCATTTCGAAAATACAGCAATTTGAACTTACGAGTTTTCACAGTGCGTGACACCAAAATGGGAATACTGTCTCGTTGAAAAAAAGTCTCTCCTCTTTATTTTTAGCAGTATAACCATTTCAAGTATTAGAAAATATGTTTATACGCACGTATTCTAGTTCTCGAGTGAAAAAAAAAAAGCTTTTTTAGAAAAAGTGAACTCCAGATGTTTTTGTTGATTTCTGGCCGCCAATATACCGTCTCCCCAAAGCTCTACAAAGGTGCGTGAAACGTTTCGGCAAATAACTCAGAAACTGTGGGTCATTAAGACCTGAGCCTTGGACAAATTGTTTATAAATTAGTCTTCTCTAACATTTCGTTTTCTAGGTTTTTTCCACGTTACGGTTTCCAATTTATTTTTTGGTTGCGTGACAGTGAACGGCGAATATACATCCGTTTCTCCTTGCTCCTCGCCGTTAGGGACGTTTCGCGCGTCCTTTGCGGCGAGTTTTTAAAGTGGGATTGAGGAATTATTTTCAATGGTTTATCGAAAGTTATTTGTAGTGAACGTGGCAGCGATATCGACAATTACAAGTAGCGAAACCACCCGTGCGTGACAACAGTTCAACAAATTTGCACGCACTGCGTGCCATTTATTCCCACAGGGCTTCTCTGTCGTTAATACAGATTCAAAATGGAGGAAAACTTTGCTGTTACTGCATATACGTAGAAGTCACTATGGCGGAAAACACAACATACTTGTCAAATTATTTGAAAGGCGCCTGGTTCATCGCCTTAACACACATTGTCGTCGGAATGTTGTTGTTTGTAATGGCAATCATGGATCGACTCTACGGCCGTGATCCTGGGATAGAGCGATTTTACCTTGGTATTTCGAGTGGAGTTTGGGTAAGTTGGTAATATAAGAACTTAACTGTTTTTCATCTATGCTGGAAGCAAAAGAGATATTTCAGCTTACGTCAAAACAACCGTTTCTGATCGTTTGCACCCGCGCTGGTTTCTTCTTTACTAGCAAACGGAATAACCGAATTAATTATTTGAGCAGTGCATGCATGGAATTCTTCTGATGTCATATATCAACCGAACACGTACACTAGTACAGGCAGACTACCCTCTGTTTTAAATTCGGGTTTGAATGTCAAATTTTCAATGAAAAATGTTTAAACAAAATTTATATAGAATAACAGCATTCGATTCCAAATAAATAAAACAAGGAAACTAAATTAAGGGGCATAAGTGAGCTTTGAACCCCAAAGAAGTGCTAGCTCCGAAATCCATCGCCTCTTGGCTCTAACCACTACACCACGGGAGATCCAACTATTGTAACAACATTTAGTTTGTTTTACATATTTTTAGTGGCAAACCTAACACGAAATGCCTGCTAACAGTACTTAAAGGTTGATTTTCACTGACGCATTTTTGGCTACGCACGTTAACGCACGTAAATTTTAATCACGTAAATAAAATAGAGGTAAGATATAAAGAGTCGAGATTAAACGTGAAGTTGAGGTAGGTTCTACTTTTACGCTTACGTGCGACCTTTCATACATTGCCTCTATTTTGTTTGCTAACGCAAATTTTACACACATTCGCACAGAAAAATTATGCGGCATTGAAAATCAACCCTAACCCTAATCACCATAGTAAGTGCGCTTACTCCCATACGAGGAAATATTTTGTGTAAACATCATAAAGTGTCAAATGTGGTTCTGGATGATGGAATCTAATGTTGACCATATAAATAACGTATTTTTACGAAGAAAGAGATATCACATTTACCTCTGACTTTTGCAATATTTATTAACGTCCCTGCGTCTTTGTATTTCATGTCCTGCGTCTGCATCCCCGTCCCACACGTCCCCGCATCCCATAATTGACGTCCCCTAGTCCCTCGTCTCGCCTCCCCGAGTCACAAGTCCCCACACACGCGTCATAATGTCAACGTCCCCTTGTCCTCATCCCCGTTTTATACACAGCCGTAAAAGGCAGCTGAACGGGATATCGATCATTACAAAATGTGAATAAACCGGAAACCATATTCCAGACCCTGATGAAAATTACCCACCCAAATCATTTACACCTAAGAAGAAAAATGAAGCACAGATTCTCTAAATATTTACTCTTTGACAGATGAGCATTACAGGAGGTTTGGGAATTCTATCAAGAAAGAGAAGGAGGACGTCTAATTATAGCTGCGAGTGCCAGTTGGTAGGTTATGAAATATACATATCAATTGATATATTAATATATAATATTATAATTTATTAGAGTCATTTCAATGCCATTTTCACACTAGAAGACTGTAGACAAATCATCTTGATGGCGATATAGAAGTTGTGGAACGGATGTAATGTTCATATTATAGCCAGGGCTGTCATTCCCCCACATCCTTAAATATTGAGCATTGATGGAGGAGGGATGATAAAATGATGTCACATATCATAATGCAAATGTATTTGAAATTTCATTGTCAGAAAGTCTATTTGACAGAAATGGCAACTTCGTCGATTATCTGGGAGATTTTAGACTCTGATCTGGAGACCGGGAGAAACAGTTCAAAATCTAGAGTCTCCCGGGTTATCCAGGAGAGTTGACAGCCCTGGTAGCTGTCTGAACAGAAAGATTTGTTTATGAGTCACTTCAAGCGTGATTCATGTTATGAGTCAGATCTGGGTTAACATTAAGCGCTGAAAATATTGATAAGGGTTTATATAAGCACTGTCGATAGTGATTATGGAGTTTAAGCACTAACAATTATAGCAGAGCTCCATATGTGCGCGGAGGGTTGTGAGTGGAGTCCTACAGTGTAATATACCTAAGGAAATTTGGTTACCCGGTAATATCTATCCATCCAAGAACTGTTGTTAGTCACACCACTGATGTCCATCTGTCCAGCCTGTCCATCCACAACACAGGGTAATGTGAAAGCTTACAATTTATTTCAAGCTTGTGTGGAAGCCTACAACCTGGTATAATTTGTATATCCAAGTTTTGGTCGATATTATGCCACTTTCACATTGCCCATAATGCACCTTATTTGCCCCCAAAAATTTTGCGTAAGCTTTGTTTTCAATTTCTCTTGGGACAGCTGTAATACCCAAAAGGAATGAAAAACAAAGGTTATGCAAATAAGGCGCATTATGGGAAATGTGGAAGTGGCGAATATTGATAGCTGTCAAAACAGGGTATCTGCTGACTAGTATCACATGACCATATCACAGGCTCAGGTGTCTACCCATTAAGGTTACGTGTTTTTTGTTTTTTTTTTTTTAAGTTATTTGCTGTCAAGTTACTACTTTTCAATTAATTGCAGGCTCAACTCTAAGTTGATTTCTTTGCAAATGTTACAAGTTTATTGTTTAAAGTAAATTTTAACTTAATCAAGGTGGGCTTCGCCTTTAACCTTGGCTAAATCTATATTATATTGATATATTGGGGTTTGAAATACAAGTAGTGATAATAATGATTAGGGCTAAGAACTGACTGGTTTGAGCATTTGGCTATATTGGTTTGGGTTAACCAATGACTTGAAGTGGTTATCATTTATTTAGGTTTACAGATGTGGGTGTGTTGATAACCGAGGGGGAATACTCCCTTTGACAGCTGATATGGGAAGGCTCTGACCAAAAGGGGTACCTTTTACAGGTGTATATGGGTAGGGATTTCCAGTGCCGGATCCAGACCCTTAGAAAAGGGGGGGCCCCATTTCCAGAAAAAACATTTTTTGGCCCTTTGGGCCTCAGTCTTGTCTAAAAATAAGGGGGGATGGTTCCCCCGGCCCATCCCCTGGATCCGCCACTGATTTCAGTAGGTGAAGTTATGTATATAAGAGGCTGTAAGGGAAATTTTTAATTTTACTGTTAGTAGGTATGTGATAGGGCACATTTCGAGTAAAAGGGCAAGAGGTTGGACTTTGAGGCAGATCGAGTTTCCCCATATGAAACCATAAACACTGTAACTTAGAGCAGCTTAAATTCTAGATAATGGAAATGAGATTATTCATCAGCCAGCTGACATTTGATAATTTATTTCCAGGCTGGTTTGTTCAAGGGCTTTGCCATCGCTTCAGCTATGTTTGGTGCTGTAGTTATCTGCATTTACACCTTTATCATTTTAATCGATCACAGTCATTATAATTCATTTTGTGACTCAAATCCCAAACTCTGTAAAAGGGAAAAGGCTATTACAACTGTTATCCTGGTACTCGGCATTGTGGAGTGTTTAATTGGATGCACAGGTTGCTGCTGTGTAACTTCTTCTGGTCATGAGGTAATAAACAATATTTAAACTCGCGTACAATAGATTTTTTTTGTTGTTCAGCTTGGATAATATGTTTTAATTTAGTCTCAAATTGAAGTACAAAGTAATCTTAATGAAAGTATCTTGTTCTTTCTCTGTAACAAAATAAAAATAAATGTCATGTGTTTTTACCAGGCTAGTCACAGTTCAAGCCTACCCAGTGTTCCTGGTGGTCATGCCCAGATGGCTTCTATGCCTCCTGAAAGTGTTCTCCAGGAAACCGACCAGCCTCCACCTTATAGTGGTCATACCCAATGTGGTTCGCAGGGTGCTGATCTCCTACTCGTCCCCTTGGACATGAGTGTGATTCCTAGTCCTGAGAGTGTTGTCCAGGAAACCGGCTGGCCTCCACCTTATACTGCTGACACCCAAAATTGTACCCAGGGTCCTGATCTCCTGCTCGTCCCCTTGGAGGTGACTCCAATCCCTCCTCGGGAAATTGACCCACCTCCACTTTATCATCAAATTTCCACAACTGAGTCTGACATGTGGAGCTTGCATGATGGAGATCAACCTCCTCCGTATAGTACGTGTACAGAACAACAAGTAAGAGTAAAGTATTTTGTTTCATTGTTTAGGAAGCTTATTTATACTCTGCCATTTCAAATGAACCTGCTCACTACATTCCTGACTTGTAATTTTTCCCTATCTCATACTTTGCTTTCTTATGATTTTATAGCATACTTTTTCTAGAATTAAAGTTGATTATTGGCTTTTTCATGTACAGTTGATTGTTGCATGTACCTTAATTTTGTCTCGTTTTTCACGTGCAATTTTTACAGTATGTATTACATGTTGTCTTTGGTGTAAAATAAAACTTTAATTTTCGAAAACCTTCACGGCATTAAACAAAATCCATTTTTTTTAAATATAATGCTTTGTTAAAGGTTTTAATCGCCTCGTGCATAACCCTTTTACCATGGTAAAGATAGAAAAAAAAATCTTGCAAAGAGGTTTAGTGCCACCTTAAATTTCCAAGAGGTAAAATGCGGCTCTGAAGTCTTTTAATTCCTACTGTGTCAAACTCTCTTAATTCGGTTGCAAAATCTTACTTGCATTCTTTCTTTTTCCCAGCACCGTGTAACTACTTACGTGTGAAGTTGGAGTCTCCAGTTCTCAACTAACAATTCATCTTCATCATCTACTGAAGTAACGTTCCAATCAAACTTTCTCATTCCAACCTTGGCGTGCTAACTGATGGAAATCTAACTTGTTATGTTATTATGTCACAGTTTTTCTTCCGCAGCGTTGTTTGGGGTAGCTGAGGCAAAACTACTCAGTGTTTGCTCGATAAATTGAGCAGCGACTTCAGTCAGAACCGCGTGGTGCGCGTTCTTACACTGATGTTGATGCAGATATGATAGATAGATAGGTTTATTAAAGTAACTTATTAAAATAATCAAATTTTAGCCGGCAGGCTAAATTGCTTAATTATTTATAATAACATTATAAAGAGTGTAAAAATTTGATGAAGTCTAAATACAATTTTGTTATTTAAGAATAATGCCAATAAAAGTAAGAAAAGAAAACCAAAATGTCTGACTCGAGGAATATTTTAACTGGTTTACACATTAACTAACATTACAATAACATTGCACGACCGCAGGCTGGTATGAACGGTTTTTTGAAGCGGCTTGTGCCAAAGCAGGGCAAGTCGTAGTAGACTCTCTCATGCCTGGTATTGTAGTAGCAGAAAAGCCAGTTTGGTACTGATCCGAGGATATTCTATTAAACAGCTTAATACACTGATTATTAGTTATTATTAATCATTACGCCTATCATACACAGCGAAGTGAAAAACGGAAAATTGTTCGACACGGGTACCACAGAAAGGCAAACGAAATGTATAAGAGTTTCTTGTATTATATAAATGGATTTGAATTTCTAAGGTAAATTTGCAATAAAATTTTAGAGGTAGAGTACAGTTGTGATAGGAGTGCGTGAATAAGCTTAGTTGTGTTACATATAAATCATGTAATTTTAAAATACCACGATTTTAAAAAACTGGGGTTGTAGCTATGATTCTGATCACCCGCTTCCTGAGAATTTCAAGACCAACTAGGTTGCATCATATTTCTAATTCTGTTATTATAGACCCAAACCAAGTTGCAATAAGAAAAAGTAGAGAAAAATATAGGGTAAAGGTCGTAAAGGTTTTGTAGATGAATAGAAACCAGAGTTACGAATTAAAGGGGAATTATTCCTACAGATTTAGAAACTTTGTTTTCAGACTTCCAATATAAAAGGTTTAATCTTTTACCTGATCAATTTTATGGCCATAAAGGTTGAATTTTCTACCATTATGAATAGAAATAGGCAAGTTAGCCTTTTGAAACGAGAAACGATTGGCTCTATTTTTAACTGGGGCATTCTCACAACGCATGCGCACTCACTTACCCATGCTTTGCTTTAGTTCTAACCGCGGAGGTCAAATAATCATCTCGCATAATAGCGCTTAAACAGCTCGGGGTGGCAAAAAAAATCATGACACATGACACAGTTAACATTTTCTTCAAACTTTTATTGAAACATTTGCTTAAAAATCTGCATTTTGGAGCAAATTAATATGTAATATTTCGATTGGGCGTTGCTATCATCGGCAGCCCATGCAATAAGGAGTACCTACGCGGTCTGATTTGCAGTCATCCATACAGAATACCCTTGACTGCGGATTAGCTTAAAATAGTCATTCTTTGTTCAAGCAAACAAAGCTGTTCATAGAATGTTGATGTGAAGTGCGGAAATACAAATTTCAATGATAATATGATCGTCGCAGTGGTAATTGCAATTCATTACCTTTTTCTTTAAAACCTACCGACTCTTTCCAGTATGTTCTCTGAAGAACGTGAGTACCTACGTGGTCTGATTTGCAGTCATCCGTACAGAATACCCTTGACTGATTAGCTCAGAATAGTCATTCTTTGTTCAAGCAAACAAAGCTGTTCGTAGAATGTTGATTTGAACTGCGGAAATATAAATTTAAATGAAGATATGATCGTCGCAGTGGTAATTGCAATTCATTTAAAGCTGATTCACTTGGCGAGTGCAGTCATGCATTTCATTTACCTTTTTTTTTATAACTACTGACTCTTTTCGGTATGTTCTAAGTACGTGAAATGTGTGTAAAATATTTTGATTTTTTTTTATACGATCGAAGTTACTACTATGCCCGTGCCCTGCATCATTATTAAATACTATAAAATGAGCCACTCTCCGTTGATTGAAGTCTACACGAAGCTGCTGCAACTAAACTTTTCAGATTCTCTTACCAGCAGAATAAAGGATTCTCACTCACTGTTAAGCTTTTTTGTCTTTAAAGTCAAAGTAGCAGAAACTAATTACCTACGTGGTCTGATTTGTGGTCATCCTTGGGGGAGAATACCCTTGACCGATAAGCTGAAAAAAGTCATTCTTTGGAGTCTTCAAGCAAACAAAGCCGGTTCAGTTTGTAAGTCGCAGTCATCCATTACCCCTTTTCTTTGAAGTCAACCGACACTTTTTAGTATATTTACAGACGTGAAATGTGTTTAACATTCTTTCATTTTACCAAGTTATGACTTCGTAAAGTTTTGAAGTTATGACTTCGTAAAAATGCAGAATAGGACTGCTAGAATTCTCACCTTTTCTAACTATGACGTTCGCTCAAGTGTTTTGTTGGATGAGCTTGGCTGGGAAAAGCTAGCTAATATTTTCCCGTCGTAACTGAGGCGGATCTTTACCAACGCCTCGAATGTACACTCACACAATCTTAAAAGTTCTGAGTTAAATTATTATGTCGCCAGACCCAGAACTGAGTCTGCAAAAGGGAGTCTACGGCTACTCTACAGAGGATCTGTTCTGTGGAACAAGATTCCCTTAGAGATTAGAAACCTGGCTAGTTTAAATGTTCTTAAAACTTCATGTCATGGGAAAGATTATCATAATACACCATGACTCACTGTAACTCTTAATAATATATTAGTTTTTTTTATTTTTAACTAATCACCTAGTACGTGGTCTGATTTGCAGTCATCCGTGGGAAGAATACCCCTGACTGATAAGCTGGCTGAAAATAGTCATTCTTTGGAGTGTTCAAGCGAACAAAGCCGGTTCAGTTTGCAAGTCGCAGTCATCCATTACCTTTTCTTTAAAAACTACCGACTCTTTTCAGCATGTTAGCAAAACGTGAAATGTGTTTAACATTCTTTTATTTTACGAGGTTATGACTTTCCAGGTGTGCCCTGCAGCATTATTAAATCAATATGCTGTAAAACGAACCATCCACCTCTTCATTGTTGGTGTTTGAGGTGTTACAAAATTTAGGTCCTTGATAAAAAACGGAAAATCGTTTGAGAGGGGTACCACAGAAAGGCAAACGAAATTTATAAGAGTTTCTTTATATTATATGAATGGATTTGATTTTGTAAGGTAAATTTGCAATAAAATTTTAAAGGTAGAGTACGGTTTTGATAGGAGTGCATGAATATGCCTAGTTGTGTTAAATATATATCATGGAATTTTAAAATGCCACGATTTTTAAGAAAAATGTTCAATACGTGCATCGGAAGGTGTTGTAGCTATATATAATTCTCATCACCCCTTCCTGAGAATTTCAAGACGAACAAGGTTGCATCGTATTTCTAATTGTGTCATTATAGACCCAAACTAAATTGCAATAAAAAAAAGTATGGATAGAATAGAGAAAAATATAGGGTGTTCGTAAAGTTTTTGTGGATGAATAGAAACCAGAGTTTCGAATTACAGCGAAATTGTTCCTACAGATTTAGAAACTTTGTTTTCAGACCTCCAATTTAAAACGGTTTAATCTTTTACCTGATCAATTTTATGGCCATAAAAGTTGAATTTTAACTTCTACCATTATGAATAAAAATATAAAGTGGGGCATTCCCATAGAGCATGCGCATCCCCTTACCCATGTAGCTCTACTTTCTTTGCTTTAGTCCTAACCGCTGTAGTCAAATAATCATCTCGCAAAATAGCGCTTAAAACAGCTCGGGGCGGCAAAAAACAACATGACATATGACACAGTTAACATTTTCTTCAAACTTTTATTGAAATATTTACGTTAAAATCTGCATTTTGTAGCAAATTATGTAATTTTTCCATTAGGCGTTGCCATCAGAGTTCCAATAACGAGTACTACGTGGTCTGATTTGCAGTCATTCGCACGGAATACCCTTGACCGATTCTGAGCTCAAAATAGTCATTCTTTGTTCAAGCAAACAAAGCTGTTGATTGAATGTTGATTTGAACTGCGGTAATACGAATTTAAATGAAAATATTATCGTCGCGGTAGTAATAATTGCAATTCATTTAAAGCCGATTAAGTTGGTGAGTCGCAGTCATCCATTAACTTTTTCTTGAAAGACTAATGACTCTTTCCAGAATGTTCTAAGTTGGTTAAATCTGTGTAACATACTTTCTTTTTTTCATGCGATCGAAGTTACTTCTATGCCCGTGCCCCGCATCATTATTAAAATGAGCCGCTATCCTTTGATGGAAGTCTACACGAAGGCGGAAGCTGCTGCTTGCTGCAATTAAACTTTTCAGATTTTCTTACCAACAGAGTAAGTGATTCTCACTCACTGCTAAGCTTTTTCGGTCCTAATTACCTACGTGGTCTGATTTGAAGTCATCCGTGGGGAGAATACCCTTGACCGATAAGCTGGCTGAAAATAGTCATTCTTTGTTGGAGTGTTCAAGCAAACAAAGCCGGTTCAGTTTGTGAGTCGCAGTCATGCATTACCTCTTCTTTAAAGTCAACCGACTCTTTCCAGTATGTTCTAAGTGAAATGTGTTTAACATACTTTCATTTTTTTTTATACGATCGTAGTTACTACTATGCCCGTGAATTGCATCATTATTAAATTGAGCTATAAAACGAGCCGCTCTCCCTTGATGAAGTCTACACGAAGATGCTGCTTGCTGAGGAGGGTGAATAGGCGAACAGATCGGCGGATTTTGAAATATTTTTGCCTGGATTTCGGATTCAAAGCGAGATTTTAACGGATTTCC